CTTGGGCAAGGCAGAGAAGGGAGTTGAATGCAGAAGTCCCCCAGAAGGCGTGCGTGGAAAGGGGGCTGGTTGTGCCTTTGCAAGGAGCCTCATCCGAGGTCTGGGCCACCACTGTTAGGACATGGAGATTCAGGCCTGTCTAAGTCAGAGATTAGGAAAAACGATTTCCCTAGGAGGGTGGGGAAGCACTGGGATGGGTTCCCTGGAGGGGCGGGGAAGGGGGCGGGAGGGTGGAATCTCCATCTCTAGAGGTGTTTAAGTCCCGGCTTGACCAAGCTCTGGCTGGGATGATGGAATTGGGGCTGGTCCTGCTTTGGGCAGGGGGCTGGACTTGATGACTCCCGAGGTCTACAGCCCCTGGCTTCTATGAAAGCCAAACCAGAAAAGAAGGTAAATTCCTAACTTTCCAAACCAGTCACCAAAATGTAGGCTGACAGCTTTCTGTCTTGTTAGGACCCAATCCCCGTCTCTCTGTTGTTAATCTGTCTGGTTCTGCCGGGTTCTTGGATTATTTCTGTCTCCTCGATAATAACTTTGCCGGGTGCAAATCAATGACGGCGGTAGGGAGATAATTGGTGAGATAATCGTGTTACAATAGGTTAGGGTTGGTTAGTTACATTTCTGTAGCATGATTGGTTAAGGTACACGAAAAGATCTCACAAAACTAGGTGATTGAGCAAGAAAATGGTGAATGAATTTGAATGTGGACAAATGCAGAGTAATGCACATTGGAAAAAAGAATCCCAGCTATACAAACAAAACGATGGGGACTAATTTAGCTCCATCTGCTCAAGAGAGAGATCTGGGAGTCAGCGTGGATAGTTCTCTGAAATATCCACTCCATGTGCAGTGGCCGTCAAAAACGCAAACAGAATGTTGGGAAAAAAGGATAAAAAAAGGATAGAGAATACGACAGAGAATATTTTATTGCCTCTGTATAAATCCATGGTACGCCCACATCTGGAATCCTGCGTGCAGATGTGGTCGCTTCATCTCAAAAAAGATCTCTTGGCATTGGGAAAGGTTCAGTAAATGGCAACAAACATGATGAGGGGGGATTAGTCTATAAAATCATGACAGGGTAGAAAAAGTAAAAAAGGAAAATAATGTAAAAACTAGGGGTCACCAAATGATATGAATAGGCAGCAGTTTCAAAACCAACAAAAGGAAGTTTTGCTTCATGCAGCGCACAGTCAACCTGTGGAACTCCTCGCCAGAGGATGTTGTGAAGACCTAGACTTTAACAGGGTTCAAACAAGAGCTAGATTAAATTCATGGAGGTTTGGTCCAGCAATTGCTATTAGCAAGGATGGGGTCTTCAGCTCCATGGGAGGTGCCAGGTTTTGGGGTTTTCAGCCCCAGAGCAGGCACTGAGGCTCTGGATTCCTGCCCTGCAAGGCACTCTGGAGTCCTTGCGAGTTTGAAAATATTTCCCGGTGCTCTGCTCCGGGCAGCTCTGGCTGAATCTAAGCCCTCTACAGCCCCTAGCCCTGTGGCAGCCGCTCCCATATCACCGACGCTAGCACCAGTAATAATCCTGGGGTGGGTCAGTGAGAAGCCAGCCAGGGTGACCCCCAGGGCCTCGCTGACTGATGGCTGCAGAAACACGGTGCAGGGTGGCTGCGTGGAAGAGACGCACTTACGAAGCTGCTGGCTTTTGCAGCCACGCGGAGCTCTGTTGAAATTCCCAGCCGACCAGCCCGGGCTACACACAGGTTTGTTTATTTGTGTTACTTGCGGGGAGGTGGGTCTCTTTTATTTTTGTCTCGCTGCCAGCGGGCTGCGGAAGAGGCTGTTTGTGTTGCTGGTTCCCCTCCACGGAGGAGCTGAGAACGGGAGAAGACGATGGTGCAGCTGGAGCAGGGAGCGATGCGGTTCAGACTGTTCCCTCGGCCTCTCACCCTTTCGTGTCCTGGCCCCTGGCAATCCGCTCCCCAGCTGGATTGCTGGGAGGAGAAAGCAAGGGGTAGAAAAGACTGAGCCAAGGAGGCTGGCAGGAGGACTGAGCAGCCGGGGTTCCAGGGCTGGAGGCATGGGTGCATCCGAAGTGCACCCATGGGTGCATCCGAAGTGCAGTCACGGGGGGTTCCAAAGTACTCAAAGGGTATTGGCTACTCATGTGCCATTGAAATTCAATAGATTTGGGAACCCAACTCCCTTGGGCTCCTTTGAAAATCTCACCTCTGGAAATACAGCAGCTATGGGACGTCTGCGGCTAATGCCCCGTTCGCGCCGACAGGGGACGTCCGTAGGAGACACCCTGTTAGCGCTGATGGGGGACGTCCGTAGGCAATGCCCTATTAGTGC